AAAAAACTCACCGTGAGGCTCTCGGCGCGGGTTAGAGCATGACCATATACGTGCCGGATGGGTGTTCGTGTACTAGTCGGTGTGCCTCTCTATGTGTGACACCGAGCAGTGTATTTGTAACTCATTTTCATCCACACCTACACTTAGCTGCAAACTTAGATCAACACCAGCACCTCAGCAACACCTAAATCTCCATCTATAGTATCACCTATAACCACATCCATACACATCTACACTTATAATCGCCATGACACGACAGTTGCGCGCGTGACATTTGCGCCTCGACATTTTCGAGCACGACACTAGGATGGGGCTGCGACTGCGCTGTGGAGTGTGGATGCGGGTGTGAATGTGGATGGATAGAGTGGGTGTGGGAGTGGATGACTGTGGGTGTTGGCGTGTGTGTGGTGTGAGTGTGGGGTGTAGATATAGATATAGGCAAAGAGAAGGGATAAATACCCAGACACATCCACACACCACCCACTCATACCCATATTCACGTCCATTCACATCCACATCCACATCCACCCCACACCCACATCTACATCAACATCCACACATCCACTCGGCACCCATGGCCATCCCCCCTCATCCATACTATGACCCTCGCGCTCAGGTTTTTAGTGATAACGATTTGCGTGCTGATTATTCCTAGTGCTGAACGTTCCGTGCTGAAAATTCCGGTTCCCTTGTGAGACATCTCAAAAGTTTTTTTTTTCTAACTAGATTAATATAATAAAAAAAAACTTCATACTTTCTACAGTCTTTTTGCTAAAGTACATAGATTACGAGCACGACCATAATTTCTTTGAGCATTTAATTCATTGTCTTCATCTTCTCTTTGTTGATCACCTATTTCTTCTGAGAAAAGAGCAAGATCAATGACTAACTTAATTAGAAGACGTGTATCATCGGCGAAGATACCATCGATCTTGACATACGATCTTGAAAATCGTTGCAAAGTAATTAATTCATTAGTTGAACAACGAATAAGAATTGAATGAATATTAGCAAATGTACTGCTACGACATACAATATCTTGAATATTAATGTTTGTTTGAATCACCAGAGATGCAACTTTTAATGAAGAATAGGTATTCAACCAACACCACAATTGTTCTTCTGTCGAGAAGAGAATTAAAGTTATATCTTCAGTAATTAAATATTCCATAAGAGCTGTTCTCAATGATGAGTTCTTCTCACCAAACCAGAGTACTATAAGATCGCCATGATGTACTAAAAAAACACAGAAAAAAAAAGTATAAACATTCTTTTTCTAGTATCCGAAGTATCATAAGGATCCTTCCATACTAGAATTACTTCCGTACCATTACCATGAATCAAGCGAGACTGTTTGTATCGATCAGAAAATTGATCGATTGACTTATCATTATCATCGATAGTTACATTATTTTTAGGCAATGATTGTAGTAGTTCAATATCTGTAGACAGTTGAACAATCGATAACATATCTACACAAGATGTCATGTAATTTTTGTAGATTGTTTTCAATTAAAGTAAAAGTAAAACTATTGATTATGAAAAATAAAATGGAAAAAATCTGAAAAATAAATACGCCATGTATTGTTTGAAACTACAAAAAAAAAAAAACATGAACTGGAAAACGAATAAAATTTTGATGAAAGTTAAAAGATGATATATCTTCTACAAACCATTTACATGCTGAAAATGACGCAGAACATCATGTTTTATACGTGTAAAATGTTTTTTCCCAAAAAAAAAAAGAAAAGAACGAAAGTATGAGACTGGGAAAAAACCAGTCGGTTACAAAGAAATCAAGTTAAGATCATATGAAAACTGAGAATAATATCTTTCTTATAATTAACTAAATTGCAATAAGAATCAATTTATAATGTTATTGATTTAATAGATCTCAGCTTATTGAATTTTTTAATACAGACAAATAAAACATTATTTTTACCATTAAATTATCTATCTTGTGTTCTTCTAACATTTACTCTTCTTACTAAAATTGATATGAATGACTTACAGACTACTATGCAGAATAAGACTATTTATATACTTCAAAAAAACCCAGCTATCTTGGAATATTCCAAGCAAAAAAAAGAACAGAACAGAAAAAATTATTTATTTATTTTTCTTTTATCATAGAACTACAGCTGTATAAAATTCGTCTCAGACACTACTTCATTGATCTCATCGGAGAATAAATAAAAGATTCTTTTTTTTTTCTGACTCATTTTCATATACCACCTGCTTATTGTTGGTTTGTTTGCCATTTTTTCCCAGTGCATACACTGTCGAATTAAAAAAAGCAACATTCGACATTTTTTTTTCTTTTTTTTTTATGACAGTAACTGATGAATGGTTAAACAGTATTAGATGATGATTAATATATATCAGAGGAGTAGAATATTTGTTATTGTTATCAAATGTAATAAATATGTTACGACAATAGATGCAATTTGAATCATCAGCTAGGATGTAGTTGTGGGTGATGATCAAGACAACACATATATCGACACTGACAATTCGACATGTGCGTACATTCCTGTGAGACGTGGTTACTATTGATGATGACTGATTTTTCTCTCTATGTACTTCAGCATTCATGCATAAGTACGGGGATTTTATTTTTCGTGCATTAGATAGTTTCATTTTTGTTCACAAAAATAATATTGAACTAACTGAAAAGAAGAGTTCATTGTATGTATATTTGATCGATGATGATAAATGAATCATGTTAATTGTTTATTAAGGGTCTTCCTCAGAAATGATTTCCAACTTAGAATGGATCGTTTGGGCTGAAACTTTCAGGAACAATTGGCTCTAATGAGAAACGCTTGTAGTAAAAATTTCGGCCTGATATACCTGACTAGATCGAACTTCCGGCGTGTTTTCCCACCTTCTAGGAGAATCGAAATAATTCCATCATTAGAAAGGATACAGAGCTCGGGCTGGTTTCAAATTAAAGCTAGCCTCTCTGCACAACTTTTCATCAGACGAAATCTTAAAACTCCCTTCCATTCATTTTTTATGACAGTTTTTGTGGACATGGTGTGCAAAATAAGCATAAAAAAGATGTCACTCCACGACAGTAAATTCCACTTTTCTCAGTCCTGATATCAAGTACCAAAAATCCGTCCGATGAAAAGTTAGCCCTGATTCAGACCTTTAAAACAAAAAAACAACATCGGTGATACCCCCGAATTGAGGGAGAGTTATTTCAATTTTCCTGTCTGGAAACTGTGTTTTGAGAAAAACACTAAAGAACTTTTAAGAATGGATTTTTCTGTTCCAATCCAGAACAAATTATATTACAATGGTATATTTTTAATATATTCCAGTGAACCGTGTTGAAGTACGTAATAGATGAAGGTAGCAAGCATCATCTGACATGTAGGTTAATATAAAAATATCCTATTCAATGATAATGCAAGTGGTAGCACAGTTTTTCTGAAACTGAAATGCTTTAAAAACCTCGAAAATTTCTCCGAAAATATAGTAACAGAGTCATAGTTTCATGTGATAAGTCTTTGAAAATCTGGTCATTTTCCAAAAGCTATATATATTCTGAAAGAGAAAGCTTCGCTACATCTTTCTGTGATGAAAACTCAACTTCGATATTTCCTTGAAAAATTCGATTTTCTAAAGGGTTTCCTTAAGGCACATATTGTGTGTGGCTGTGGGCGTGAATATCCGTGTATCGAAGAAGTTTTTTCATGTGAAGTAGGAGGTGTGTTTTGATAAGAAAAAACACATGACAAGTCGTTTGTTATATGTCGTAGTAGTTAGGTCAAGCAGCTACATTGGCAGAAGAAATCTAACAATAAGAGCAACTTTCATGCAGCGAAGAGTTTCCGAGGTTTTCTAGGAGAATTATCAAAAACAGCGAAATTTTGTTGATACGGATACAATATAAAGATCACGATTACTGAAAAGTAATTTTGAATGCACTGCTGTCAAAGACGGCCACGCTCAAGAGATTCTGTAAATAAATTTTTAACTTTATTTTGATACTTTAAAACTTTTATAAATATGAAGTAAATAATTTTATTCTTCGCTGCCATAGTAGGAATTTGTTAAACATGGTCTTCAGAGTTGAACAGCCATCGCGAGTAAAGACTATCTATACTGTAGAATGTAAATTTCTAAGGAAAATGCCACAATTTACTCGTCGAAGATAGAACAACCACATATTTAAACAAAAACAGTTCGATATTCAAAATGGATGCGAGAACAAAAACGATCATCACCAATACAAAAATAGTAAGAATGTGGATGATTTAAATCATATAGACACATATGGAAGAGTGGGTGGGGGTGAGCATATGAGAGAATACTAGTTCCGCATCGAGACTCACCCCGAAATAAAAGTTATACGGGAAGCAAAAATTTTTTTGATAATTATTAAAATTTCGAGTGCTCGGATTTCCGATCACTCGATACTGAACGGTTTTTATGAATCGAAACCCATTGATAAAAGAAAAAATACTTGAAAATTAAATCCACTGCGGAGCCTTCGACCTATCGGAAAATGGCACTCCGAAGGCTTGATTTTGAGATTCGATGCCCATCGACACCTGAAATCGACAGTTCGAAATACCTATCGAATGACTGGTTGGACAGAAACTTCAATTTTTAAGAAACAATCGACGACTTGACGGTGTATGTGTGGATCTTTATCTCCTCACTCATAGTCCTTATCTACACCCCACCCACACCTCTAGGTATTATGGAAAAAAAATTCTTATAAAAAAGCTTGTTAGTCCAGCCTCTTTGGTGCTGAAATGTGAAACTCATATATCTTCTTTAGCTTGATGATAGTAATACAAAATACAGAAAGTATAAAATCGAGAATTTTCTTATTTTTTTTCTGATGGGCGCTCTATTTGCCGTTTTCATTGTTGTTATTCGCTCGTTATTTTTCGTTTTTGTATTTCTTTTTTCTTCATTTAATAGTTGTATTATTATAAGCTTTGAATTAAATGGCAAATAAAACTGATATATATATTCATGATTCAATCCTGGATGTTGAGGTATGTAATCTGGAGCTATCTGTAATGGGGAAGAGAGAGATAGAGAGAGAGAGGGCAATAGTTGCCACGGTTTGTAGTTTTGGTAGGGAAGTGAGGAAGGCTCAAAAACCTTGATTTAAACTTGCAATCACTATTTTCATCGAACATATATGCGAGTTTCACAATAGAGCACTTGGAAAAACAGAATCCTTCAAGTCAAATTCGAGTTAGTTTTGGTCTCTGGATGTCATAAATGTTCAATTGCTCCATTCCAGTGTAATTTTTGAATTCTATTCGTTGTGCTAGTTCGATAAGATGTTTTGTACATTTTGAAATCATTCCAGTTTCTAAAAGTATCTTTTTTGTGTGACATTCTACTAACAGTTTTTTGGTATTAGTTAATCGCATTTCAAAGAAAATATTTGTTAGCTTTCCCACTGCACCATATGCTCTTATGAAGCAAATAAAGTTGAGAAATTCTCTCTCTCTCTATCTATATTTTAGTGGAAGTAAATCACTATTTTATCATAAAAACTCGAATGTACTGCACTTGATTGTAATACCAACGATGAGTTCAATTTATTTTGAAAAAACATGTGAATCAACTTTGAAATTTAATGATGAGATTCTGATAGCATGACAAAGTTTTTGTGTTAAACAATCTACTCGACACTCTATGTTGTCTGTAATGAACGAAATCATCATTAATATTTATTAAGATGAGCATACGAGAATAGAAATGAAGACAATCAGGTTTTCATTGCTTCTGTTAAGCTCTACTGTATTTATTGTCATTATTAAAATCATTATGATCATGAACGAATTTGCAAGATATAAGACATGCAGTGCTCAAAATTGATAAAAAAAAAAGTTTCATTTATATTAAGTTACAGAATAAAAAGTATTTTTAATTGAATAGGATTCAATGAATAAGATATCTCTGATAATAACAAGTAGTCTGAACGAAGGATGTTTATATGTTCAGCAGTAGATCATAGTGATTGATCATCATACGATTGTTTGAATTCTGATTACTGTGGTTTGTTGTGTAAAAGGAAGTACTCGCGTCGAACGACGTCGTTTTAAGCATAACATGACTTTTACTTGGCGTCGAAAAGTTCGTGATACAACTACATAGACATAAAGAGAAGCGCAGGAATGTACATAAAGCAATAGCTGTGTAATACAGATAATGAAATGATCCAAAGCTGTTGTCCCTTGACTACCCTTGCCTGTTATCAAAAAATAGGCTTGCAACAGTGATGCTGGCAATATCGACAAAACAACAATACTTGTTTGAATCAAAATCATTCGAACTACTTGGTTATTAAATTTATGTGTAGCTGGACCTGCGCGTTGACGTCGAGTAGATATTTTCAAATTGCGCCAGGTAAGAAAACCAAAAACACTCAAAAGTGTAATTGGCATGGGAACACCGAAAATTGTATACATAAGAGAAGCGATGGGTTTAAAGTTATCATTGACATA